GTCTTCGTAAAAATAAATCGAAAGGTTTGGCTGACCATGTCTGACCACGACTGGCCAGTACTACTAATTCTGGCATCGTCTAATGTACCATACCTCTTCTACGCAAATTGCAATTTTTTAAATGATTACAACTAATTGAAACGGACACTAGCATAACAGAAGCAACATAAATTAGCAACATAAGTAGAAATTGTGAGTAGTGGTCAGACACGCTGATCAAGTCGTACACGTGCTCCAAGGAGATTCAAGACCAATTTTCTCAAAATTCAAAGCTCAAATTAAAAAACTCTATTACTCATTTTCGATTCATTTTTCTCTCGCAAAATCATGTACATACATAAGAATGAAGCTCTGACCGATTACAAGCAACGTCCAGGGTAAACCCTTAAACCTAGAAAGGTGAAATTTTGCACAGAGGTTTCCTTTATGATGTTTACAAGGAATAAGAAATAATATTACGAAATTCAACCCGTAAAGGGGTAAAAAGGGGTTGCAACGTTACTATTTCACGCGAGTGAAATCGTAGGCCACGGCTATCGGAAATATCCGATTGAAACATTTGAGTTAGGGAAAACAAAAGACAGTCACCTGCTGATTCACGAAGGAACACGTGGTCGAATGCGAACGACATAAAATAAATAGTATTCGCGAGGCACAGCTAGTTTATTTATAAAAAGAATCGTGTAACTTTCAACCTTCCTGATTTCAAGAGAGCACAAACAGTTGGTAAACTAAACATTGAAGCAATCCGTGCGTTTCATTATTATTTAACTCAACAGACTGGCAGGTAAATGTTCCTATTTAATCAAGAAATATCAATAATGAAAGTAAAGGGACAAAATCAATTTTCACGCATAATAATTTGTATAAAAGCTTACAATTATGAATGGTTTCTGGTTAAAGACGTATGGAAAAATTGCTTTATTTAGTTTGCACAGTTACTCCACAAAGGAAAACTCAATTTACCGCTCAATTTATTTAATTTCCATTCGCGGGTTCCGATACTGAAAATGCATTCAAACTCGTCGAAACCTGACCCGATCTCGCAACTGGCGCAAATCTTGTTAACCCTGTTTTTCTTTTATTTGCAGAAATGAAGCCGCGGGGGATATCTTCGCTCGTCGACCAGCAACAGGTAATTTCAACACGTTTCGAATGTTCATTAACTTATTCGTCGGTCTTGTCAGGGTATTAATACCCCGACCCGGCGGGGACTAATGTCGAGTCGCTTACAAAGCCACAAAGCACCTTGTGAATCGTTAATCTTCACTGAGAACGATAACTATAATTATATACAGTTACGTCAATTACGATTACTCTTCCGTGAATGAAAGTGGGTTTGAGACGTGTCCTTCTTCATCGTTGATATGCGAGAGCACGGAATTTTCAACAACCTCGTAAGAAGAATTTCATTCGAAGGATAACGCGTGGCCCTTTTCAAATGTTGCGAACTGAAATTAATCGAGAACTTCTACACTTCGACTTATACTTTTATCCGTGCGATCCAAAAATTATATAAAGTCACGATTGAAAAAAGTAAAGTACACTTTGTACCGAAAATCTTGGTACTCGACTTCAGTTTCTATTGAATATAATACCTGCTTTCGCATATGAGCAAATTAGGAAAACCACCTCTAGCCGAGGCGCACGGTAATTACAAACTCGCTGATTCGCGTATTTTAAAGAGAAGTCGAAAGGAACATTTTCCTTTCATACGCGATTGCCGTTTCTGCAGCTTCAGGCGTTCGCGGCGATTCAGTTTCCTCCAGCGGTAAATTTCGTTGCGACCAATTGCGCTTTCTTATTCCGCAGCCGCGTTTCTTCGTTGCCTGAATAGGCGAGGCAAGTGGATGGAGACGTTACGCCGCGAGAAAGATTGGCTTCCAACTTACCCTCGGACGTTTCCCTCTTTTTCTCGCCCCCCTTCTTTCGTTAAAACTTCGCGACACGATGAGAGGGAAGTCGGTTAAAATGTGATTTCAACGGGCGACGGGGCACCAAAGGCCTCCCGTCGCGGGTGCTCGCGATCGAAACGCATCCGCGACTACCTCGAACTATCGAATTTCGATATCGAGAGGAGACTCGATCGATACGAAGTGGGGAAGAGTTGGGAAAAGAATTTTAAACGCCAGTAAATGAGGAGAAAGTGGAAGAAAAGAGGAAAATTCGTATTTTATTAGTTTAGTAATTTTTTTTCAGAAGAAACTCTAAAGATTTTTCACCTAATATTCAGTTGGATCCGATCTTAGTTGAATTCTTCACATAGTATCATAAATATCATAGTGATCCCTTGTTATTTTAAAAGTTCTAGAAAATAAGCACTCTGGTTGGCAATTTTTGATACCTAAATGGCTGTGTAGACATTTTTCAGATTTTTACTATTTGAAGGTGGTGTCTTTGAGAAGTCATATAAAAATTCATAGCCAAAAGGATTCAGTTTTTGATGCATTATGGTGCTTCGAGAGCACAGGTCTTCACTTTGTCAATTTTTAAGTACTAAGTATTAAATCAAAGTAATACTTCAGATCTAGATTATAATGGACATTCGAAAAAGTTCGTGGTGTTTTGTCGCTTGATCAAGGCGAGAATACTACGCAGCATTGTGAACAAATTTGTGGTTTTTACGGACAAAATGCTCTATCAAAATTTTTGGTGCCAAAGATGCAAATGGTTGGAAACGCCACGAACTTTTTCGAATACCCAATATTACATTCTTCATCCTTCCATAGTTGTACTATCCACGTGCGAGGAAAATAATACTTAGGAACGTCTTCTGAAGATTTTAAACTTTAAGAAAATTCATCGAAATAGTTTTTTATTTAAATGCTAGATTGGATTTCTCCCTCGACAAACCTTGGACACCTTTTTCTAAGGACTTCAAAGCTTTTTAGAAGTTCGTGTATTCCACATACACTATCGCCATCATGCCTCTGCTCTATATTTTTCACTGCCAATCACGTCATACGCATCTCAAAGCCTTCTTTCTCAAGCACGCTGTCCTTTTAATAATTTTTCGATCCAAACCCGGCGATGTCCCAGCCAACCTGTCAACATGTTGCACCGAGAAGCACCGTGACGCGATCGTCCCCGTCTATTCCCATTATGCGCGGATATTCGTCGCGACAAAGACACCCCCGACTAAAAGTGAATCTCGCTAATTAGTATTCAATGAGCGATTGAACACTATCGAGTCTTGTTCGCCGCAGGTCAAAGGAAGGATCGCGTTGACGGCTGACGCTCGTCATCTGAGCGTTAAGAGAGGACACCGTGTCCTCGGATAGCTGCGAAGCGTAGCCTTGCTGCCCGTTATTTAACTCAAAGAAGTGATAATAAACAAATGAGGGAACACGGCGAAGGAGAAAGGGTGAGAAACAGCGGAAAATCGTAATCAACCGGGGCCGTCATCGAAGCGCGCAAGCCCGCGCGCACTCCATTTAATTGATTGTGCACCCCATAAGCACGCGCCAATTATGATTGTTCTCTGTATTATCCACCCCTTTCGTTTCCTCTCCCGTCGGTCTCGATCTCGCTTGGACACCTCCTCTCTCGCTCCATCTTTCATCTAATTATGAGACCCGATGAGCTTTGCGGCACGCCAAAGCCGAATCGTGTGTCCAGAATCGTTCCGAGCGAATTACGACCGATCATGGACCGTACTCTCGATTAAACATAACAATGGACACCCGTCTATTCTCGGTTTCGATCACTTTTCGCGCGCGATATCAGTGACGGACTTATCGACATATTTTTTTTTTTTTTTGTAGTTGCGCAGTCGTTCTAAGATGTAGGAATATTTGAAAATTTTTTTCGAGGACACTACACGTTCGATCTGAATATTTTGTATGCGCATCAAAAGTTTACGTTTGGAGTAAAACTTCTGTCAATTTTGACAATCCTATGTTAATCTATATAGGATATATGAGCGCCCTTATGGGGCGGGTTTCTCGACCTCCGATGTCCAAAACATAAGTTTTTAGAAATCTGGATATAACGAAATCAACTTTACCGTTATCATCGTCGTCGATATTCGCAGAGATACGCCGGGAGGGTTAAAGCAAATCGTCGCCGGTTCCGAAAGTGTATTCTCAGCGGATACGAGTCGCGAGAGAGGGGTTTGCGGTCATTACGAACTCCAGAGTGCTCGTATAAACTTCTCTGGCAAGTGAAACCATTACGATCAGCTGTGTGCTCTCGATCGATTAAATAGCTCCACGCTGGCGGAATCGAAAACACTTGGACGGAATAATTTCTGCCGGCGGCATCGTTCGCAGCCAGTCACGACCCACCTTCCTTTTCCTTTCTTCGAACTTGTACACCGAGCGGTCGATTCGATCGAATCGACGAGTCCGTTCCGTCATTTGACAATTTTTTAGCGTGGAATATCAGCTGCGTTCTCTGACGCTTTTTTTCTTCATCCTCTGCCTGGGAACGACGATGATTAACGCCGAGATGCTTTTTTGTGACCTTTGACGTTGGCCGATCTTGCATCAGGTTGTCGAAACAGGTTTCGAGCGGCCTCAACGTAAATGGATTTCAGGCGACAGCAATTGTGCTTACGAGTATTTGGCAGAGAAGGAATCCTCCGACTGGATTGCTTAATTGGTTAAAGCAATTAGCTGGTACGCGAGGAATCTTGGCTCAGCGAGTCGACTTATTGCTTTTGCGATGCGCAGGACATTCTCACCAATTTGTTTGCCATGGTCTATGCAACAGTTCTGTTGTTAGTTGCCCTTTGTTTAATACTTCGTTTGGTAATTCGAAGGCGTATATATATATATATATATATATATATTTTTTTTTATTTCAGGACATTTGACTCCGAGAGATGAACATTTCTTTCTTTATCTGAGATAAAAGGAAATTTTTAATACAGAAATACACGACAACCGTAGCGATTAGACTACAAATATTCACGCAATTATGGTAAATGGATACACGAGGAAGTGTACGAGGATGCGCACAAAAGGAAAAATGCACAACAAAAAACACGTTACATTCTTTAGAAAATGAAACATATTTTCATTTAAAATTCAAATCTTTGTCTGTGCTCATTGAAGTATAAATCTGGAAAACTATCGCACTGTGGTGTATCTACACCAACCACGTTTACCGAGATTCCTTCAGTGGGATGTATCCAATACTATTTCTCAAGGTTCAAACTATTATTCGACCGAAAAAAAAAAAAAAATGTCCAATTGTTCCCTCGCGAAGGTGACGCCTTCCCCGAAGAATTTAAACGAAGAAAGGCTAAAAAAATTCGTCGAGAACGTCGTAAGCTTGTCTTTGGACGACTCGAGACTCGAAATAACGAGGCTGCCGGTCCGTGGTTCGGCGTCGAGCGTCGTGACGCGGATCGAATCCGCGCGAGAGCAAGAGAGCGAGAATAGATGCGACTGTAATTGGATTTACAGTCATCGGTTCGGTTCGCCCGGCGGATAGAGGCCTAAAGGCCGCGTTACTCGACACCAGCCACGCTTGCTCGATTTTAAGGCGTCCAACTACCCTCAACCACCCCGAAAACAGCCCCAATTTTAGGGAATTTTTAAGGTAAAAATTACGATGCATACAAAGTTCAAATTTAAAGACACGAATATACAGAGTGTCCCGTAACTGGCGATACAAGCGAGTATGGTGTGATTCTACGTAAAAAATTGAATCGAAAATGTGGAATAAAATTTTTTCATATGACGCTTTAATTTCGAGAAAAAAAAATAAGTTTGAAAATTTGCCGAAGTAACTGTGCTCTCCTTATTAAATTGCATCGAACGTTTCCTAATGTTTCGTTGTGCAATTTTAATCGTTCAAATGCTGTAATCATTTTTTGTTTTGATTGTTCAGCGCTCGATATGTCATCACTGTACCCAATCAACTTAACATGACTTCACAAATAAAAATCTAAATGTGATAGATCCGGAGATCGTGGCGGGCGAAGTATATCGTCATCGCAGCCGATCCGTTAGTGATAATTTTCATTTAAATTGCATCTTACTTCTCCACTATAGCTTGATATTCCATCTTGTTGAAAAATTAAATTTCTTCGAATTAGAAGAGAAACATTTTCCAATAATCAAGTACACATGTACTCGACATATTTTCAAACTAATTTTTGTCAAAAATAGAGCGTTATATGAACAAATTTTATTGTACAATTTCGATTCAATTTTTCGCGTAGAATCACCCTCTACTCGCTCGTACTACCAGTTACGGGACACCCTGTATAATCAGTGATATACATTGAACGACAGTATGTAATCTGTCTTTTACTGTGTAGGGTATATCATTTGATTGAGGGTAATTTTTGTCTGTAGGTATGAGTGGGAGCATGAATACTACATGGCATGCAGAGTTGAAATTTAAGTACATGAGTATATAAATATGCCAACTGACAATATGTAATTTCTTTGAGGGGTATGGAACGAACCAAATTTTATTGACGTACTACAACAGTATAATTTTTTCCTTCCTGAGGATTGCTTTGATGCGTGGTCAAAACGCTGGACAATTTATTGGCCCTCTTGTGGAAAAAACAATTCTTTTTCTTTTTTCTTTTTGTATACTCAAGGAAGAAACTGCCCCTTTAACCAAACACTGGATCGAGTGTTTCGCCAGCGATTCGACGGGCGCGTAATGGAACCCCTCTGCCCCATGGTGTAAATACATATTACGCTCGAGACTAAATACAAACAATCCGGCGCGGTTCGCACGGAGCCGCGTATAATGCAGCCGGTCGCGTTGTTTCCGTCAAAATTGAAAATTACAGACCCCCCCCCCCGCTCCCCGACTGATCCGTTTGTGTCGAAGGCCCCGCCAACAGGGGGCAAAATATGAAATCAATATTTGCGTAGCCGCGCGCACGCACCCCCCTCGAGCGACATTTATACTAATATTCGGCAGTTTTACAGAGGAATTGGCTCGGACCGGCGAAAATTATTCGACCGTATTGCTTAATCGGCATAAATAAAATTTAGCGGGCTTGTTTGGTTTGTCAGTGATTTTTCATCGAAAGTCGAAGCGCGCTGAACCCTTGCCGACCCTCGTTGGGTGATATAGTACGTGGCTTATTTATTTTTTTTTTTTGTGTAATTCAAGGGAGGAAGTATGCACAAGCTTTTTCCAACCGACTGTGTGCGTATGCATGTGCAACCGATTTCATGTACATATCAAAAATTGCACATAATGTATATAATGATTATGTGTGTAAGCACTTCAACGAGCATACTTTTATTTCTAACCACGCATCCAAACCCTAGTATAACGAAATGAGTGCATACCAAATGCGCACACAAATCGTACGTAATGTACAATAATTATGTGCATATATACTCACTTTAACGTGCATATCTTTATTTCTAACCATACATTCAAACCCTGGTATACGAAACAAGTGCAAGTGCGGTAGACACAGTTGCTGCACCATACCGAACCAAATATTAAAAATTGTCTCTTCAACAAATGCTCGAATCGTTCCTGTTTCAATCTCACGTATCTTCGAACCAAAAAAAAAATCTAGCCGCTCTTTCCAAAAACACCTCCGTATACAATCTTTGAAAGGGTCAAAATAAATTCCCCAATCGTTAAAAAAAAAAACTGCTCTGGATTAGTTCACCTCCACAATAGCCACGTATCGGGGATGTTTGCTACCTCCTTCCGCGAAGTAATCAAAGAAGCAAAGAATGACTTCCTTTTTGGTCTACCTGTTGAGAATAATTTCGGTCCCCCGGGCGTGATTCGAACCCCGTTCTTTGATTTCGCGTTTCTCGCGTCGTTCACCTCGCGAGTCAGGGGACGATTCGCGTGGGTGGAAAAGGGAAACGAAGGGATGGGAATACACCGGGGGTAATACCGATATGTTGTAATAACTCGGAGCATCTAAATGCCGCGATTACTATAATCGAGGTCGAAAAAGCCTCGGTGCACTACCATTCTTGGCGTACGCGGGCCTCTTCGAGGATTTTAAAGCTCTCCTCTCGGTTTAAATTATAGACTACGCACGGCTCGACTATTATGTCGAGTCGGGTCTATTAATAGTGCACGCCGCGTCCTAGGAAAAACGTTGCGCCCGGCGTTTTATCGAGGCTCTCTCGCTCGCGATAAATCACCCCTTCCAGCAAAGCCGGTACCGTACGACCTTCGACAATCTTTCGACGTTTGCGGAAGCTCGATCGAATCGACGTCTCCTATTGGAATCGATTCCTCAGCCACGTGGTCGATATTGTGCGCGTACGGTCTTCTTCTTATTCGAACGTCGCGAAACGTGGCCACGGAACTCAAACGTGCAATTCTATACAAGAATTCACTAAATCATTCACGAAATCACTAAACGTATAGTAATAATAATTATTACTTTTATCAACCCTTTGCACTCGAAAGGTGAGTCTCAGACATCGCTAGGTTTCACGTAGCAAATCTACGAGCAATAATGTTTCTTTAGGTTCAATTTCTTTGGAACTAGAAGTGTCTATAAAATCTTCGAAGTCAATTGAAACTTAGCATTCGTGGCAATACAGAACGTAGAATGCCAAGAAAGCATCTCGAGCTGCTGGTAGATACAAAAGAAAGAAAGGTCTCGAATGCAAAGGGTTAATTATAATTTTGTATAGGTAGCAGTCGCGTTCTAATTCAACTCTTTCTTTTATTACACCTTTATATTCATCTTTCTTATGCAAGACACGTTAAAATTCTCGATAAATGTCTGCGATAAATACACCATTTCAAAGATAAGATTCAAGTTTCAATTCTACTTCTGTATACGTGAAAATACGATTTTGAGTAACTGTCCGCAGTTTAGTAATTAATGACCGAGGAAAATGATGCGTTCGGTATATAAAATAATGGGTTTAAGTGCCAGCTGGGATAATAGCGTCACGTGCAACTCGATAATCACTGTCATAATTAGTCCCCCATCCCCTCTAATACTTTCTGTCGAGTGGAATTAATTTCTCTTTTTTCCCATGGTTATCTTTTGCGGGTTCATTAAAATATATCTCCTAGGAAAAGTTGCGTAACCTTGAACTTCGAACCTGCAGATATTGCATGAAATTTAGATATTCAATAATCAGACCTTTTAGAAATGATTTCACGGAGACATACTACTTAGATTGCGGATTTTATGAATTTACGACGTACAATAACGTGAGAAATACACAAAAAGTATACATAATGTTGGATACATACCACAATTAATATAACAATGTTATTACTTAATTTCCTAGAAGTGCACAGACCTTTTGATTCTGTTTGGCATGTGTCTATTATATTATTTTACATCATAAATGCATAAAATTCACACCCAACTTATTAATATTATAAAAATTCAATTCTCACGTACAAAAATGCATTTATCTGCAACTCAATCTTCAGCTTCACACGACGAATGAGCACGTATAACAGATTCTTGACTCCCAACCACGTATACCCGAAGTTTTCTCAACGAAATTGGAACGAAAACTTCCGGCTCGCCTTTGTTCCCAGCTTCCTCGCATTTTCTCGGATAATTAGTCGATAGATAACGATAGTTCACGGACACGATGGCAGGCCCCGTGAATGATTATTTTGTTCACAGAAACGGCCAGATAAAACCACGAGTAATCTTTCAGGTTCGGGTTACTCGGAACAATGAGGTCTGCAAACACCGAGGGGTGCAACAAGCTACAGCTTAAATTTTGCATAGCTTCCATGTCGGAGGCTGTAGGGAAACTTTCTATTAAAAGAACATGGCGGATGCACGTGGAAAAACAAACTTGTATAACAACGAATGTTGCTACCAAGTTAAATACTGGGAACACGAGACTGGTTACTATCTGGTATAATAAGATTGTTAAAGGTTGGTGCGTTTATACAAGGCCTGAAAATTAATACTTTTCCAGCTAACGATAACACATATGCGTTGAAGTACTAGGATTCCACAGGGTGTTTGAAATGGAAAGGCTGGAATTCTTATAGGGGGACGAAGATCTACAGAAAATAACATATAAAAGTTGTTTAGTGAAATATGGTAAATTATGTGGTGTAAATTATTTTTCTATGGATAGAGGAGATTTAATTTTGTTTAAATAGAAGCTTATATATTTGAATGTAGAGAAAGACAGAAATTGTTTGGTAAAAAGTGGCAAATTGTATGGTGTACATTATGTTTCTTTGAGTGGGGGACATTTAATTTTGCTAAATGGAATTTTATATATTCGCATGCAGGGTAAGATAGGAGTTATTTAAACAAATTCATAGACCTATCATGGCACGACTCGAGCCTTCTTCCGAAGACAAATATTTTCCTCGAACACTAATCAAATGTTCCGAGTGCCAAGCAGAATTTCACCCCCACCTGAGGATCCTCTACCAGCTGAAGCTTGTCGTGTTGCACACCCAATCACGAACGAGAATTAAATTAAATAGATACACGAATAAACGTACAGCAGATGCAATCTTCCCGAGACTATTCGTAGCCCTCCTCGTGAAAAGAATCGTGCCACTGTCGCGAACAGAACAGCGGAAGAAAACCTCTTCGGGAGACAGTTACGTAAAGTATCTCGGACAGATCTCGACCAGAGGCTTCACGATTGAATGAAAACATTCGGAAAGGCTGGACTCGATTTACTCCTTGTCTCGACGCGTCGAAATCGCTCGTTTGCGATTATTTAATCCCGCTGAACGAAACACAGCGCTGCCCCGACAGGAAGATGTCTTCCTCGAACGCTCGTTTCGTGAGTGCTCGTCGAAAAACGTTCGCAACAATGCCTCGCAATAACGTTCCCCGCTGATTCGATTGATTTTTAATGCAAAGTGCCCCCGAGTGGGAACGTTTTTTTCGCTGTTCTCTCCCGCGAGAAAAGCTCTTCAACGTGTATCGATGATGATGTTATTCAGAGTACGCGCGAGATTTTATCGGTTTTCCCGCGTTCGTTCTTAGCATTGTCCCCTTTGAACGCCGCGGCATTGTTTCCCTTCCGATTTTCTAAATACACCGCGGAGCTATTGTGCGCGACGTTGCCCGGACCTTGTCTGAAACAGTGATTCTCAATGCCTTTTGCCACGTGGACCACGCCTGAATTTCATTTGCCTCTACAGGCACCTCTCGTGATTGCTGATTGGAAATGTATGCGACAAAATGATGGGGAAGATGTAGGAAAACACAGAAATACGTGTGTACGCAGTGTATAAGAATTGCGATAATACCTACGGTACACTACTTGTACTCTGCGGATGTTAATGGAAAATCCTATTTTTACAGGTTCGATAAAGAATTTATTTGTCTTATCTTCTCTGCAGTGTAACGTGTGTTTTATGATTGATATTTTATATATTTTTTTGCAACTCTACGAACTCCATATTGCATCCAGAATTTTAATATATTTTGTGTAAGAAGTATGTATATTGTATGTCATATACATATAAATAATGAATGGATTAAACAGTACTGTAGTAATACCGACATTTGTACGGATAATTAAATTATTATTATTACCCATGCAAGACAATCGAAGAAGGTATATTATGCGTTTAATCGGTTTACTACAAGTAACATGAATAACGCGAGTTACCAACACAACAATGCTATTATCTGTACAGAACAGAAGAAGATAATATATTTCACATTTAGTACATTTACTACAGGTAATACGAGTAACGAGAGTGTATAAGCCACACAATACAAAATTGTTATTATCCGTAGAGAACATAAAATAATAGGAATGAGATTCACAGATAGACTCTAATTGAGTAAGAAGAAAAGCAACCTCCGCAAACAACCGCACGTAGAATTATTACAACATTTCGTTATATTTTTTCGAGGTCCAGCGTGCAGTAATGGTTTTTAATTTCTATTTACACCTTTCCCGTGAACCTAAGTGAATTATACGTCAGCCGTGTTTCGAATATAAACTGTACCGCGATATCGAGAGTTCTTAATTAGACTACATCGTCGAAACGCGAAATGAAAAGTGATCCGCTTTTGTTCCAGTTAATTAATGACGAAATCAATTAAGTGAATACTTGTGGCCGTTTGTTTAAACAGTGATTTAAATGAGTTTTATATTTCGTGCATCGGTGTACACTTTTCATTAGTTTATGAAACGCGGAATCATTAACGTGGAGAACGTGTATGGTTTCGCGAAAACGATCGACTTGAGTTACGGGTGTAGTTAGAAGTTTGATTTACTCGAGAAGGTCTAAACGGTGGTTGGAAATTTCTTTCTTTTGATTGGAATAGAAGTAATATTAAAAAAAAATTCGATCAAGATGCCTTCTTCTTTGTTCGTTATTCGTAATTAAACTGCGGATGTTCGTGCATCCAAGGCAATTCCAAATACTTAATAAAAATATACATGGATATACAAATATATATATGTATGTATATGTATAATATTTATATATTAATATTAATATTTATATATATTAATTAATATTTATATATATATATTCCAAATACTTAATAAAAATATACACGGATATACAAATATATATTAATGACGAATATATTATATATATATATATAGTCAGTCAAGTATTCATACATTCTATATCCATTAAAGAAATTGATTTGAATTAAACGATAGGCTTGATGTTCCCCCATAAATTCTCCATCATAAATA